CGGGCCAGCCTCTACAGGCTTGTGGACCTTTTCAGCTGGGCTCGTTTTACACGATCTTACATTACTGTGAGTACTTCACAATCATGCTCTAGTGCACACCTGCTAATGTATGCAGCACAAGGACTATGTATCTTTATGTGAGCCTTGTGTTCTCTGGCTTCCAGGAAGACTTAAAGGGGAACACCTCTTTATTTTCAGAAGCCATTTGTTTATGGTTTAGAAAAATACTATTTGTGAATATGAACAGCTCCTCAATAGCAGGAAGTCACACTAAAATATGTGACGGACACTTGAGATATCGAGATTTAAAGCTATCTTTTTCCTTATAGACAAAACCTAGAAAGTCAGTTTTATCAGCCCACACACTGATTTTTAAGTTTTTCATAGTGAAGAGAGTTTCCTCCTGTGGTTCAGAGTTTCCTGTACCCTTGAACTGGTGACATGGGTCTTCTTACTTTGAGTAGCTGCTAACCTGACTTTAAGCTCTTTTTAAAGCAAAGAGACTTGGTCTCCTGTGGCATCAGTGCTTTTTAACAAGAATGAATTTATGTGGGAAACACTCCTGCAAAAGCATCAGGGGGGTCAGAAATACATAGCGCCTATATTTCAGTCTCAGATTCTCTTGTACGAGCTCAATAAACACTGATTATACACTGTAATAAAATCACAGATGTTTTTCAGTATTGGGATTTACGCATGTTTTTGTAACTTAGGTTTTGGATATTGATATTGATTCATTGTTTCTCAGGTGCGTGTCAGCAAAGAGCTGGACCATGTTCTTATTAGTCCACAAGGTCTGTCCTTCGCTGAGGTGACAGCAGCAAATTTGGTAAGCACAATGACTGCATGTTTTGTTATTTTCCAATTATGAGTAAGAATGCATTGCATTTGTAATGCATGTATTGGGCAAGGTAAAAACACTAGTAAAGTTTTTGTGTGTGTAAAGCCATTGTAAATACATTTAATGGATACCCAAAAAATTTAAAGATGTATCTGAGGAGTGAATTGTATAGTAAATGCAGTAAGACATTTTTGTAATGTTGTATTTGATTGAGAATGCCAGGCACCTGTAAGATATGAAGCGATATATTTATACATGCACAAAATTGCACACAAGTCATGAAATTCAAGTCTGGGTCAAGTCTGAAGTCTCTGGGGTAGGAGTCCGAGACAAGTCTGACGTCTTTGAGTTAGAGTCCGAGTCAAGTCTCAGATTTCTAATGTTTCCTGTTCAAAAGTATTTTGTTCTTCTGAATTTTATCCAATGTGTTAACTAATAAGGGTTTATAGTGGATTTATACTATGTCTCTCTAAGATGCCAAAGATGCCATCTAAAACTGCCTTTTTAAATTCAGCGAACCTGCAGGTAACTACAGACACCAAATGAAAATACAGATATTATATTCTTCCAAGGCAAACTGGAGGCAGAGTGTAAAACATTTACATATGCCTCTTCGCTTTATCAGCCCTGGGATATGGCACAAATCACTCACATTAACATCTACGGGCAATTTAGAGTTGCCATTGAATCTAATCTGCATGTCTTTGAACTGTGGGAGGAAGCCGGAGTACCCAGAGAAAAGCCACACAGACACGGGGAGAACATGCACACTCCACACAGAAAGGCCCTGGTCGACCACGAGGTTCGAACCTAAAACCTTCTTGCTGTGAGGTGCTAACCACTGCATCACTGTGCTCCCTGTTATTGTTATTGTTACTATTTAAAAACAGTAAGTCGGTTAGCCTTTAAATTATTACTCCTATAGTACGAAAACAACAGCGACTGCCCACTGGCCTTCATCATGTCTCTAACTTTGCTTTTTTTTCCTGCCTCATTAAGGTGAAAGTAAACATAATTGGTGAAATGGTGGACCAAGGCTCTACTGAGCTGGGTATTGACCATTTTGGATTTGCTCCTCATGCGGCCATTTACTCCATGCGCCCTGATGTGAGATGCATCATCCATATACATACCCCTGCTACAGCTGCTGTAAGTATGCTCCAGGCAAATATTTAATGAGCTTTGTCTTAATCAAGGCATAAAGGCTGCTGCTAAGTGCTTATTGTGCAGCAGAGGAAAGGGCTGATCTAAAAGCAGCCCCCTGCATGGCTACTTATTTTAGATGGACACCCTTTATCGTTTCCCTTGAAGCTTGATGGTAAAACGCACAGCATATTATAAACATCACTGTGTAAAGTTATATTTGCGCCTGATAGCAAAAAATGTGCCTCGATTTAAATGTTGATGTGTCACAGCCTCAGTTGCTTTTATCCCGTGTTAACAGGTGTCCTCGATGAAATGTGGACTCTTGCCCATTACCCAGGAGGCTTTGCTTCTGGGAGATGTGAGCTGCTTTGGTTACCATGGCAGCCTGGATAATAAAGAGGAGAAGGTGGAGTTTCAGAAAGCACTGGGTCCTACTGCCAAGGTACTGCCAAACCAAGGGACTCCATTAGTGACAGGCTCACTTTCACTTGGGACAGAGTGGGCTTTCAACAACTGCTTGTAAAAAACCCATCAGTTATTATAATAAATTGCACACACCAGCGGTTATATATGAGGTTAGTTTTCCCTCTTGCTTAGGTAAGGTAAATATATGATCACATACAATATAATATATAGAATCAACGTGTCACACAAAAGCATTATTACCTAAATGTAAACCCATCTTCTGCTAACCAATTTCAGCCGTAATCACTTTGTCTAAAATTGAGGTTTTTGTGTGTCAGTTACATCCATGAAGGGGAACATGATATTAGAAACACCTCTGACGTGGAAGAAGACCTGTGTCATGTCAAGACAAGTGTTGATAAAGAAATAGCAAATGGGTTAGCTGATGAATGCATGTTAACAAAGTTGGATATGCTAATAAATTAGCTCAACTGGATTTATTTACTGTTTCACGTGTTCTTCAGGTGATGATTCTGAGGAACCATGGGCTGCTTGCTTTGGGGGAAACAGTAGAAGAAGCTTTTCACTATGTTTACCACTCACAGCAAGCTTGTGAAATCCAGGTACAAAAAGCTTGATTTTTATTCTATTTTATTTTTTACACATTTAAAAGCTACCTTATAACTTATATTTAACATATGTAATTCACCTGTAGACATGTTTTACCTTTATATTATCTTGTCTACAAATAGCAGTGCCTGAGATGAAAGCAGAGTTGGTGTCTAACATAGAATAAGTCTGAACAAAACTAAGTCAAATGTGTACAACACTGCACACAGTCAGAGTGTCACAGTGTTCGCTGTTTAAGGATGTTTTGAGTTAGTAGAATCTGAATAAATGCCTGCAGGAAAACTGCCACTGACTTCGCACAGAACAATGATTAGCCTTGTAATTCCAAAAGTAAGAATTGTATTACTAGAATGATTTTGCTATAACGTACCTTTGTTTAGGTCAACGCTTTGAGGTGTTCAAGCAGCACGGACCACCTTGTGCTGCTGGACAGAGAGAAGTTTAAACCCCTGACACAGGGTGTGGCTGCTGCCGGGGTGGTGATAGACAATGAGGTCAAGTGGAAAGTGGGCGAGGCCCAGTTTGAGTCCCTTATGAGGATGCTGGACAACCTGGTAAGTGAACTCTGACCTGTGCCTTATATCCATGATGCTCCGAATTTCCTGTCTCAGATGCTTCCTTTGGAAACACAGTGAAACTAGATGTGTTTTTGTTGATGTAATCTGAAAACGTTTTGTTTCTGTTTTATGATAGTGGTCTCTGTGTAATCATTTTTTCAGATACTCATTAAATTACTGTGAGAACCTATACAGGTTTACAGTAATGTAACAGGCTGCCCGCTGGTATTGTGACAACCTCAAGACTTCTTTGCTGTGCTGTGCTTCTGTACATTCTAATCACACTGCTGATAACCAGATCCTGACATGTTCTATGTGTGTCTGTTTGTGTTTGCTACTCGCTAACAGCTGCGGCTGGAGTGAGCTACAGCGGCGTTAACTCTGTGTGATCAAAGCCCGCCCACCCTCTCAAACATAGTTTCCAGATGGTGAAGCATGCTGTGGATAGTTAAAGCAACACAGGCCACACAGTCACTTACTGTAAGGACTTTAGAGTACTTGGAAAGAAGATATGGTGTTTGCTCAGAGACTGTATATGGCACTGGGTGTAAATGCCAGTACACTCACTGCAACAGGAGGTCTGTTCTTCCATGCCAGAAGGTAGAGTTTACTTGTGGTGGTGAATGATGTCAGAACTGATCCCAATGGAGAAATCCAAAACAAAGACAGCAAGAGCCTTGGCTGCACTAAAGGTCACATCTAAAGATTTAGCTCTGTACAGGCATGAGAAAGGAATGGTGTGTCAGTATCCACTTTCATTAAAAATCTTCTTCTATTCATCTCCTCTAGCTATCTGCTCATTATATGAAATAGGAATGCATCACATGGAAATAGAAATACTCACAAAATAATGAGGGTAGCATAGCTGTTTGTGTGTGCAGAAATGTATTTGAAAGCTACAGCTGCTGTCTTCTTTATTTTATACACGAGCCCAGATATATCATAGCTGAAAGTTTCTGCACATGCTAAATTTAAGTGCCCTAATCTAGACTACGTAAAAGGTGCTAGTAAATACTGGCCAGGTTCTCACTGCTCTTATAAATGATAATCAGGCCTACAAGTATAAGTTGCAGCTGGGACTGTGCAGCTGTGCACTGGGAGGTGGGGTTATATTTAAAAGGATTTCAGAAAGTTCTGTCAAAGGCTTGTTTACATTGTGAAAGGGTCTTTTTCAATTGCAAACTTGTCATATTGCCTGAAGGAAAATGCCAGTTTGAGTTGTGACTGTAGTGTTGCACTGCTGACTTCAGACTGCCCTCTGCACATACCGCGGGTTCCCATCAGTACTTTTACAGTTGTCTCTCCTGGCCCTTGATGTATTAACAACATACTTACACAAGTTTTATCTTTTTGCTCTGAAACTGGTCTGGTTTGCAAACGTGCTGTTTGTATTCACAGCCTTTTTTTTTTATATTTAAAAGCACTGTGTAAGTGGCCTTCATTTGAATTTTGTGGCTTTTATAGTTGACATTTAATTATTATTTAATGGATTGTGAGCGGAACTAAGGAGCAGTGAAAAATACTGCAGACTTCTTCCAGCAAAGGATGATTGTTCAGTAAGTGTCTTAGATTGAGGTTTCCTCTCTGTCTGACCTTCTAGGGATACAGAACAGGCTACTCTTACAGAAACCCCATTGTCCGTGAAAAACCCCGCACTAAGAACGATGTGGAGATCCCTGCCACAGTGTCTGCTGTGCCACCGGAGGACAGTGAACTGGGTCTACGTAGCCCCTTCAAGTTTATGGCGCAGAAACAGCAGAGAGAAAGAACCCGGTGGCTCAATTCACCCAACAGCTACTTGAGGGTCAATGTTCCTGAACAGTCACCCAGCGGGGATGTCAGTCCTAGGACCAAAACCATGGTAACAAGAAACTGAATAATCTATCCTTTACTGGTTTAGACTCTGAGGGAACTTGTGATCTTGGGAGTAGTCCATCCTTTGTATTATCCTGCCCTCTGGTGGCAAGTTACACAAATGCATGTTTTAAATCATCTTTATGTTTTTCTTGTGAATGTTTTTTATTCTTTCAGTGGATGAAGTCATCACAGCCAGGTAACAGCGTTGGCACCCCAATAAAGATCGAGGACCCCAACCAGTTTGTCCCACTCAACACTGATCCCACAGAGGTTTTGGATAAGAGGAACCGGGTCAGTTGAAAACATTGTCACTTTTGGCACCAGAGACCCAGAAGGACCTCATTTCATTCACTTGCATTGCCTGCATTATATAATGATTAGAGCTGGTATTTGAAAAAGTCACACCCAGTTTTAAGCTCATATATACTTAAACTTGTATTCAAACATAGCATTCTCTGTAATGTATGGCACTGAAATTAATACTAGACACCTGATCTCGGTGTATCGAGAGTGATGGTATTAATATACTATATGTAATGCCAAACATTCCTGAATCAGCTATAATATGATTTTGTTGGAAATCATTTTCAGATAAAAGAACAGCACAGAGGCGACCAGATGACACCAGGACCAAAGTCTCAGTTACTAGCAGGCATTGTTGTGGACACCATACCTGGACCAGTGAGTACATAAACCATTTAAAGTTAATAATAGGTCACATATGCTATCACATACTGCATGATGCACAACCCAAGAATTGTATTCACTTATCAAGGGAAGAAACAGCACGGCCATCTCAGCTATGCCCTCTTCAGTGTTTAGTAAGCAGTCAAATGTCTGCAGTAAGTAACACTTTATATACCGTTCCTTGTTGAGACTTAAACACAGTCACTCAGTAATTAATGCTACCTGCTACTCCTGGGCTAGAGGCTAACACAATACATTTGATTCTGGTATCAAAACAAGCAGAAATACATCCACTGAATGACTTGTGTTAAAGCAACTGGGAAAACTGTAAACATAAATGTATAGTCAGTCATAATTCAATATGAGCATTTTACTGCTGTTTACTGTAAAAGACATAACAGCTGATCATGATGTCTTTTTATAATCTCCTCTCCATCAGGCTTTCATCATTGAGGACGAGGAGCAGACTCGCTCGCTTCCCCCGAACCCCTTCAATGAGCTTACAGAAAAAGAGCTGGAGGAATACAAGCAAACTGTAGAAAGAAAGCAGCAAGGACAAGAAGGTACGCATTTCTACCTACACTGACTTCAGCGATTTCTTTATCATTACAAAACCTTTACATCCCACCGTTGCTCTTCAGGCTCACAGATGCCTCTACTTTATTTATTCCTGTTTGGGTTCACATAGACTCATAACTGACATCATCCCACGTAGATTTAGAGTGCAGTGTTTGGAAGTTACGGTCCTGACAGAAACTGAGATGCAGAAACCAAACTAATCTCAGGAGCTAACATTTGCAGTGGTCTCGTCTGTATTTCTGTTTAGTACTAATTAGGAGATGTTAGCATAAGAAAACATTTAACTTTTACCACTGTCATTAAGAGCATATTATCAGACTATGTTAACAGGTCAAAGCACCACTGACGTACCACTAAACACAGATGCTAGTGTGGATGTAGGCTAAACAGTGAAACAATACAATTCTGAATTAAGATTTGTTCATCCACTTACATGAGCACACTGGCTTTGATGAATGACTGTCCTCTGATGACTTAAATTCTTTCACAGAAGATGATGATGCCACTGATGCAGATGAGATGACCACATTTGATGGCTCTACTATCTCCCTCTCTCTCTCTCCCATAATGACACCAGCTAAACAAGGTAATTAGCTAGTCAGTAGGTAGTTAAATGATCAGGTGTTAGAACTAGCTGTCTCTGTGTTACCTGTCCCTCTGGTATAAACTGTAAAGGGACAAAGAATGTCTCAAATTACATGGATAATTACCTCTACCATGGAGGTTATGTTTGTACTGCTGTTTGTTGTTTTATTCACAGCACAAGTCAAAGTTATGAATGGATTTTTATGATTTTTTTTTTTTGGAGAGGTAGGGTAAGGTCCATGGAACAATCCATTACATTTTGACCCTTATCCAGCTCATCATCCTAGTTTAATGTATTATTACAGCCTAGTGTTTGTGATGGCAGGTCTTATTCACATCCTTCTCTGACTTGGATTCATCTGTTGACAGACACCATACCCAACGGGAAAGACCACTTGGCAGAGATGGAGGAGGATCTGAGTATAGAAGTGTCTAAGCTGAGCGTGAGCACTTTGGAAAGCGTGGAAATCTCCATAACAACAAAAGAGAAGACGACAGAGGCTCAGACCCCAGAGAGCCAAACAAAGTCCCCCAAGAAAAAGAAAAAGAAGTTCCGCACACCTTCATTCTTGAAAAAGAGCAAGAAAAAGAAGGAGGAGAAAGAAAAGGCAGAAGCTTGAGAGCATTTACTGTTAAAACAGTGAGTGTTTGAAAAACATCTTAATTGCCTTGTTATGTTTTAGCTTGCTGAAAAGGGAAGAATAAGAGAAATGACTATAATTTAGTTGGAAAAGTCTCCCAGGACAGGATTGTTTTTACATATCCTGCACATTCATGGTTATTTCATGTGAATGTTTTTCCAGGATGGAAATGTATAGATTTTTTTTTTTCCTAATGAGAATCTGTGAATGACCAGTTCTGAGGACAAAGTAAAATGAAAAGTGAATGCAGAACTGCATAGCTGTGGTTTTGTATTACCCATATTTTTAATGGGGTTAAAAAACTGATATCATATGATACACGGATTCGAAGTTCATGAGTGCATCAGTGTGAGCCAGTGATTTATCTGTTGTCATTCCTTTTGCACAAGTTCATCGTTGAATGTATACTGAAAGCTAAGTAAATTGTTTAACAATTTTAAAATGTAATAATCACAATAGTAATGTAACAGGGGCTGCACACATTAAGATTATACAATGTTTAGCCTTATAAAAAGAATGATTTGTATTTGAACATATTCATAGCTATATGATCTTGTAATAATATATGTTGGTTTATATTATAGGTATTACAATAGTGTTTGATAGTTAAATAATTGATTTGATAGTCTTTACATATGTTCTTTACACACTAACTCATACTAAACATGCTGTGATTGATAATAGAGTAATTCCTGTTTTTACATAGATGTCAGTGGTATTTTTCCCATGGTTGCTGCTTTATTGTAATTGTGACAAGGAATCGACTGCGACTAAAAGGAAGAGCTCAGCAAAGTGGCGATTCTTGCATACTGATGTGTGGCAGAGCGATGAAGTTTGACTTTTACTAAACAGACAGAAAATCACTACTTGTTTGGTTGTTGACAATGAAAGTGCCAAAGCTGAATCATAGAAAGTTGAACATGACGGTTTGACTAATTATGTCCAAATAGTCATTTGATGGCAGTATGCTGTGGAATGCTTTTTTTTGTAGCCACTGTCAAAAGTTTAATATGAAGCATATTAGAGGACCATATATTTACATCCCAGCCAATAATGTGAATGATTTATTTAGTCCCAAAGGGAGTGAACACTGCCTTTGTAAATAGTTTGTTTTTGTGAAGTTCTTCTGTTATGCTAAACCAAACGTTAAACAATGAAACATAGAAATGTGACAGTACAGTCTAATAATAGTTAATACTTTTATCATGTTTTATCCACCTTAATTAAGCTCCTTATTTACTAAACATGCACAGCTCCATGTGTTTACAAATGATATTACTTATGTAATTTGTGTGTCTAGTGCTTGTATTTCCTCTGTTGTTTATGTTGCTATTTGTATTGCCTGGGTATTCCCACGGTGCTTTACATTACTGTCACCTTGCCTCAAAGTCACTCTAAAATTGCCTTCCACCTGATGTAATAAAAGCTGGGGTATGTTTCCATAACTGTTTTATTGCTCTCTTGCTTATTGACTCTAAGATATTTGGTGTTATTGCTTCCTATATTTATTCAATCATAGTTTCGAACATGAACAGGTTTTTCATGTTGGATATTTATGCATTTATTTAACATGGGGTTTAAAACGGCAGCTGATTTGATCAATTTTTAACAGAAAAAATAACACCTAACGTATGAAATAAAGCTTTCTCAAATACTACTCACGCAACCTCCCATTTAAAGAATAAAAAGCACCATCCCCTTAAAACAATGTCCTCTGATCTATGGCTCTGTGAAGCTATATAATCAGTCTTCACTCATGATATTAATGGGCATTGTCATGGTAATCCACCAAGAGGGGGATGCGGAGACAAAGGGGATTTGGTGTCTCCAACAGGTGTTCATGTTGGGGGAATGACACAATCTATACTGAGATACACCTCCCCTATGAGATGACAGGGAGAGGAAGAGGAGGTCAAAGGTAGTGCATTTCATAGCATATAAAACTCATAATGACAACATTATGTTTTAAAAGAAGGTATTAATGAGGATTCAATTGTACAAAGATGTCAAAATCTGGCAGATTGAATAAATTATTATTAATGGAATGTTTTTGGAACAATAGGAGAACAGACATTTTCTCAGAATTTTTACAAAACAAATCAGTTATCTAAAAAAGCAATAGAAGGACCAGGCTCCAACCTTGTCTGAAAAGTCCCTTACAATGCGTGGATGACAAATCTTAGTGCTGAGCACTTTCATGTCCTGACAGTGCTAAGGAGAGGATGGAGCAGGTGTCCTTCTGCTGTGAACTCAGAGCAAAGGGCAGCTAGTGTTTTAAAATGGGACTGCTGCTGCACGAACCATCTAAGACCGCCACCTTAACCGACCATCAGCATGTGTGAGACTAGACTCAGCACAGAGAGACAGAAACAGATACAGTACCTTTTGCTCTCTGCTTTCTGACACTAGCACGGGATGTTTGGCACATTCTGTGAAATAGATGCACACATACCTGTACTTCTATCTTTGTGAGAACACTCACTGACATAATGCATTCCCTAGCCCCTTACCCTAACCCTTAACTATCTGAACTAAATGTCTAACCTTAACACTTCATCTAACCCTAACCTAAACCTAATTCTAACCTAAAATTTCAAAGCAAGTCTTAACCCTCAAAAATGTATTTCAGAAAGTGAGTACCAGCCAAAATGTCCTCAATTTCCAAAAATGTCCTCATTCTGTAGCAAAGAAAATATTGTTTTTGGTCCTCACTGTATAGCAAGTACAAGAACACACACACACCAGCACCATGTGACTTTGTCTCCTCTGTGACAGTCAAGCCATTGGTGTAATCCTCTGGCTTTTCAGATTACTACAGTAGGGGTCACATTCAACACAACCTACAGAGGGTCAGCTTTCTACGCTGGCTATATCAGCGTGCAGCATGCAGTCAGTCGAGCCTTACTGAAAAGATGAGCCTCTTCCTGGTGAGATGCTGTCAACATCCATCCCCCACTGAACTCTGTCCATGTGTGACTGCATTTATCTGTCCTGTTGAGCACATGGTAACGTCTGAGTGCATAAACACTGTTGTTTGATTTGAGGAAGATGCTCCAATAACAGGAGCCTTAATTACATGGGAAATACATAAACATCTAGATTTCAAAAGTAAATCTGTATTTGTGAGGATTTTTAAGGCACCTTTGCATCTGTCCATGATCAAGACCGTCTGTGTGTCAGGCCTTGCCAGACAGCTGAAATAGGCGGGTGTACTTTCACAGGCATCCGTTACAGGGCTGGCTATATCTGCAGCGGGCCAGCCATCTGCACCCATTGTCTCAGAGGCACAACACAGCCCTGCACGCTTGGCTGCCTTGTAAAGGCAGGCCCTTTCACATCTGTCCTCCTCTTCCGTCACAGTGCGGGGAAAAATGACTTCTTAATCCGTCAAAAGGACAAGAGAAGTTGATCATCAAGCTAGAAGTAAATTAAAGTTCAAAGATTAAAAAAGGGATAATTACATCAATATAATATTATTATAACATGATCACTTTTACTATCATTTCACTTCTGTGAGCTGCTGAATTAAAACTCCCACTAAGGGATCGTCTGTGCTGCACATTCTGAAATCAAACATTATTTTACTAGTTTATTACTTTCTTGTATTGTATTTATATGTTTAGATAGTTTTAAAACTGGAAAACTATTTAAAATAAAACACAGACAGGCTATGATTAAAATGAGAGACTTCAAGACCTCAAAGGAGAGCAGCATATAGTGTATATACAGTATAGTGAAATGAGGAAAGAACCTTGGTGAGAACAAGTCGCAAGAAGAATCTTAGAGAAAAACAAGCATTACTAACTGTTCCTGTCTTGTCCAAGTTCACAGATGTGACTAACAGATTAGAAATACAAGCATGGGAGAAAAATTACCATGCCTGTACATTAAAGTATTACTGCCCGGGGCCCTTCAGCAACACTGTGGCCTAACATAGTGATTACATATTTATAAATGTCCGACCCTGGCAGCTGTCCCTGATAACCAGGTTGCACTATTGATTAGATGTGATACTGTCTAATACCATGCTTTTCACTTTTTAAACTCTGTTTGCATATATTCACACACAAGCTGTGCACATGAAAGGCAGCTCTTTGTCATAATCATTCAGTTTGGTTTATGTCCATAAAAAAGCAGCACTGTTACAAATGAAAGCAGATATTATTTCAGAATGCCAATGGACATAGGTGTGTTATTTGTTACTCTCCTGCTGTATTGATAATGAGGATTTATTATGGCACAGTTGACAATGAGTGCAACGTGCATGCGTTAGTGGGAGGGATTATCCATCAAGTAGGGCAAGTGGCTGAGACTAAGGACTGCAATTTCATCCAGCCTAGTTCGTTTTAGTCATCTGCTCAGTGCACAGACGGGACAAGGAGACCAATTCCAGTGCTGCTTATCTGTCAAAGCCCAAAAAGGCTAAAGTGAAAATGGTAAAGTACATGCGACAGCACAGCGAGCTGAAACCCGAGGAGGTCTTGTCGGAGTCTGATGCGTCCATGGACCAGCAAGATTTCGGAGAAATGTCCGACTATTCTTTCAGCGACGTTTTATACTCCAAATGTTCCGCAATGGACCAAATCGGCACTTTTATGAAGAACGTGCAAGTGCTGCTCGATGCAGCAAATTACATAGAAAATATCGAGAAGAACCACGGAAGTAAGTAACCACGGGCTGTAGGGGATATTAACACGTAATGCACGGAGCAGACAACAATAGAGGCGAAGGCGACAAAAGACGCGCAGCGGACAGATGATCTGACCCCACAGCAGCCAATGATATTTCGCCTGCTACTCTCTAATTGACCTAGCAATTAAATATGATCATATAAGCAGAAGTGGGAAAAATGCCAAAATGTTCTATTCAATAAGCACTGCATAGCCAGAGACGTATTTTATCGCAACAATAGCCTGCAGCTATATCATCTGCTCACATTAAAGCTGGTCTTTTGCAGACCATGGGGGCTTAAATTAACGAGCACGATTAAATGTATTTAGTGTTTTCAACAAGCTTACATGTGTGCACATTTAGGTTAATATAAGTAGGCTAGTCAAATACAGTTTGGGTCGCAGATGTTCCCTTTAATCTTTTATCTCCGTTTATCAAAGTTCCACGTATTATTCACTTAAAATGTCCCGCTCACTCAAATAATATCGCATTCACGGGTTGACTCGCGTCCACAAACTGCGATATAGCGCTTATTTCTTCTAAAAAATTAATTCAAAGCCCAGCTATAGTTTTCAGGGGCAGCTGCTGCTTCCTTGTATGTGTTGTTCACATGGTTTCCACATGGAACAAATTGGAAAGTTTTCATTGGTCGGGACACATGTTCCCAGTGCAAGTCACTGCAGACAGCCAATCAGAGACAGGTTCATGTCTGTCGTCATATGTTACCGGGAGGGAGGGTTCATGGGTATTGTAGGTTTTTTGAGCAATTGTAAGAATACTGTAGAACAGAAATGTGTTTTGGCCAAAATATTGTTACTCATGGCCACTTTCACGGTTTTTCCATTTAACTTCAGTTCTTTGAGCTAAATTCCAAGTATATGTTGCCACTGGCTATATATTAAGTTCCCATTTAAAATGCAAGCCAAAATAAGGTCTCATCCATCATGCTAATTAATACCTTCATGAAGCTGTAGCACATTTATTAAAAAAAATGCACAGTATATTTAATCCTCTATCTTTTTCATCACCAGAATATGAGCATGGGTATGCTTCTATATACCCAATCACCCAGACTGCACATCAACAGAAACAACGTAAATTTAAGAACAGGAAACTGGACAACATTCACAATAGGTAGGTTCATGACTTGAAAAAGGTCTACAGTATATGTATGCATGAGTATTCCACCATTCTAGCATAAGCTCATAACTACTGGATTTGGTTTCTACACACATATTGTATAATATGTCTTATTTTTCATTAGTTATGACTTGTTCAACTGTTTTGTTTACATGTTTATAATTTCAACAGGTCAGCACACAATGAACTGGAAAAAAATAGGTGAGTAAAACAAAACTGAAGAGGTCATTTAAATGCATGCTTATGACAAAAACAGACAGATAACACTATATAAAGAACATTAAAAAGGAACCAGATGAAGATAATGACATGACTATGGCAGTGATCGTTGATTTTTACTTTTATCTAGCTTTAATCAGCATTTGTTATATATGCATAACAACTTCATGATGTGGACATACTGTACAAAAGGCATACAAAGCGGAGGAAAGAATCTCCAGTCTTTAAATTGCTGTAGCAAATGAGCTACACGGGGAGTTTATCTCAAGAGCTTCCTGTCTCAAAATGAAGCGGCAAGCTGATAATCCAAAAGCATTCTCTATTCTGGCATGTTTGCATACCTTGGGCTAAATAAGTTGACCATACCATTTCAGAGAAATGAAATGTACTGTAGGCTTATAAATCATCTTATATCATCGCAAGACTCAAAAAAGGCCTTTTTTTTATCCACAACTTGGGAATTTACCTATAATATATGATAGTGTGCATTTTGCAAGGCAAATAAAAGGGAGGTGTAATGCAGTCTCAGTAGCAGCACTGTTCCTAGAGGATGTGCACACATTTCCCCAGTCAGCAAACAGGAACTGTCTGTTTCCAGACAACAGGGCTCCTTCCTGAGAGATTCTCAGCTGCAAATCGCAGCTTGCTTCTGATGTTCTAGGATGAGGCAGCATCTGCTTTGAGCGGGGAACAAATGTCGGGACACATTTACCCTGAAATTAAATGACCAAAAGTATCTGGGAAAATCTTAGTTTAAGAGATGAAAGATGGGGATCATCTAGAGGAAGGCTTATTTCATATTTCTCTATGTTTATTACAAAATGGTGGCCAATGCAGGGAGGAGATATGACATCACAACCTGACCTAAATTTTATACCTTTTTTTTTTTTTTTTTTAAATAATCCAGAAATCAGAATTGCAGACCTCGGGTCCAAAGGCCTTAGTGGGTCAGAAATAGGCTTTAAATCTGGGCCCAGCAGATACACAGTCTTATGCTGGTTTACTGTTTACTTGCCCCTTGCATGGGGATATGTACATACACGTTGAGAGCCGATGTACCAGAGTCAAATTCCTCGTGTGTCCAACACACCTGACCAATAAAGCAGATTCTGATTCTGATTCACATGTAATTGCAAAGGAGTCAGACAGTGTGGTTAACTAGCAAAACAGATAAACAGATAGGTCACGTGCCATCACAGATGGATTAATAGTCATAATCAGAACTGATCAGGACCAAATAGTTAACTATTACAATACTAATCACACTGGATGAAGAGGAAAGATTATCATCTGATTTAATCAGGATCAGTGCAGAAGATAATACATTGGTCTGGGAATTCAGCTTTCAGTTTTCTGTCATGTATTACTGTTCTATAATGCACATTATCCCATGTTTCCTGTCTCTCAAGAGAAATTACCCTTCTTGATTATGTTTCCTCACACAGACGAGCACATCTCCGCCTGTGTTTGGAAAGGTTGAAGTCCCTCATCCCTCTGGGACCAGACTGCAGTCGGCACACCACACTGGGGCTGCTCAACAAGGCCAAAGCACATATCAAGGTGTGGTAGTGTAAGGCAGCCCATGTTGTCATGAAAACACTCACAAATCAAAACAAAATGTGTGGCTGTCACTCACAGGTAACTAGATTGAGAGATGTCTGGTCGCTCCCTTGAGAAAAATAAGTGATGTTGTATAGACATCAAAAATAGAACTGCAGTTTTGCAGAGATTTACTCAGATACACAAGTGAGGGTCCCAGTATCCTGATTCCTTTGAGACCCAATGTGAATGACTTACAAAATGTAAACCTTTACCAATCAATAAACAAGAAAATCAAGAAAATTATATTTAGTCTCCTTGCCACCAAGAGTCTCTGCCTGTTGGTGGCTCAGAGTCTCAGGTTCCTCCTTAAGTTACGAACCACTGTGCTGCACTGATACTCAGTCAAGTGTGACCACAGTGCAACCCCACGGCATACACAGAAAACTCAATATTTAGCTTGAAATCCATTTTGAAATACTATATATTCTTAGATGTGTTAGGTCAGCACTTGCTGACAAGGGTTTCTCCATGCAGTTGTACACTGTACATTAATTTTTTCTCAGAAACATTAAATGAACTGCACCTTAAGGTACTTTGGCCTCAGCATTTGGACATTATGGTTGCTGCTTGGTGAATTCAGTTTTTCTTTCCATTTGAACAATCTCACGGGTTGTTGCCAGGGTTGTCCTTTGCAGGACTTTGAGCCTTGGTGAGCCTTTGATTTGGTCTTGTGTCTGTCACACTATGGGATAATGTGAGAATAGTACACTGACTATTGGTCTAGAGAGCACCAGACTGTTAGAACTACAGTACATACACACACACTAATGTAACTAAGTACATTTATTCAACTACTCCACTCAAGTACAATTTTGAGGTATCTGTCCTTGAGTATTTTCATTTTCTGATACTTCATACTTTGACTACATTTCACAAATAAATGTACTTTTTGAGTGGTAAGGTGGTAAGTTTAAACAAATAAATTAGAGCTAAGAAGGCAAAACTTGAATAAGATGACCTTTAAATTCATTTGTATATCAAAACCCATAAAAAAATGACCATGCCTCTTCCAGCCAGCCATTTTTCAATTATATCTGCCTCACACAGAGACACTAACACTTTCTCTAGAATCAAACCAGCAACTCTGTGCCCTTGTGTGTTGAATAATTCATTTGAAGGCACAGGGAGCATCACAGTTTGCAGTGGAAGCAACTACATATTAACTCACATACAAGACCATCCTCTCATGGAAATACCTGTATTTACAATTAATCGTGAACCACATCTGGAGAGGTGTAGTCAATAATGGTGCAATTTGATGCAAAAATATTCATATAAATATCAACTGTGGAACATTGGATCCCCAAATACTGCACATCATGATTATTTTTAGGTTTACAACTATAAAATGAACTCTTGTGCATTCCCTTCTTTTCAGAAACTTGAAGAGATGGACCGGAGGAGTCAGCACCAGCTAGAAACCTTAGAGAGGGAGCAGAGGCACTTGCAGAGGCAGTTAGCCCAGCTGCAAACTCATGGAGAGAGGGAAAGGGTGTGTATGGACAGCCTGGGCTCCCAGATGGACTCTGACCGCTCAGAGTCGGACAGAGGTTTGTGGTTCTAATAATCTAATTTATCACCATATATACTATGGCAGGCACAATTTCAAATGTTTTAGACCCACATGATTCAGAAACTTAATCTATATTTATTTGCATTCTGTTTTTGAGCAGAGGAAATTGAAGTTGATGTGGAAAGCACTGAGTTCTCCCATGGAGAAATGGACAGTGTAAGCACCAGTGGTGTAAGTGACCTGGATGACCCTAGCAGCCAACAGAGCTCAGCGAGTGACGAGGGCTACTCCACATGCAGTCTAAAACTGGCCTTCTCTGCATAAAGCACCAGCCTATACATTCACTTGAGCTGCAGTCTTTAATGGCTTTCACCTTTCAAAGTACCAGCCTACAGCTTCATTCTCTTTAGCAGTTTAGGTTGTCTTCAAAAGAATCAGCCTCAATCCCACCTTTACCTGACAAATGAAACATCTACTCCCCCCCCAAAAAACCAGCCTTAAGTTCAACTCAGTCTAAAAATGTTTAAAATATATATATAAAAAAAGGGGGGAGCACCTCTACATTTTACACAACAGCCTGAAATTTAACTTCTCTGGCAATATACTGTTTCCTAATTTTTCAAACTTGATGTAACCGATCACCTGAACGTCCCTTTACCCACCACCAGCTTGAATCAACCATACCTACACTCAGTACTGATCCTGTAGATGGCCAATGATCACGAAAGGGAAAAGCTACCTTTAGTCAAGTTAATCCTCTGAAACCAGCAAAAACACAAAACCCCCAATACCAGCGTAAAGCTCACCATTTGGAACGTTTGCTCCATTTGCCATGTAAAAAGATTGCCCTTTTTTCCTTGGATAATATGTAAAGGTGACACTTCTTGTCAATGTACAAGCCAGTGGCAAGGGCTACAATCTCTGCATTCCAAAATGTTTATTACACTTCTCTGACCTCTGCTTTAGGACCCACAACCATCACTGATCCATGTGGTGTCCCTCTTGACTGAAACAGTCATACCCAAACAGGTCTGCCCTTGTCATTCTAATTTATTTTGCTATGATTATAGTATTTATTTTTGGTATGTTTAACTGTACTGTAGCTACAGTATTGTTCAAAATAATAGCAGTACAATGTGACTAACCAGAATAATCCAGGTTTTTAGTATATTTTTTATTGCTACGTGGCAAACAAGTTACCAGTAGGTGCAGTAGATTCTCAGAAAGCAAACAAGACCCAGCATTCATGATATGCACGCTCTTAAGGCTGTGCAATTGGGCAATTAGTTGAAAGGGGTGTGTTCAAAAAAATAGCAGTGTGGCATTCAATCAGTGAGGTCATCAATTTTGTGAAATAACAGGTGTGAATCAGGTGGCCCCTATTTAAGGATGAAGCCAGCACTTGTTAAACATGCATTTGAAAGCCTGAGGAAAATGCGTCGTTCAAGACATTGTTCAGAAGAACAGCGTACTTTGATTAAAAAGTTGATTGGAGAGGGGAAAACCTATAAAGAGGTGCAAAAAATTATAGGCTGTTCAGCTAAAATGATCTCCAATGCCTGAAAATGGAGAGCAAAACCAGAGAGACGTGGAAGAAAACGGAAAACAACCATCAAAAGGGATCGAAGAATAACCAGAATGGCAAAGGCCCAGCCAATGATCAGCTCCAGGATGATCAAAGACAGTCTGGAGTTACCTGTAAGTACTGTGACAGTTAGAAGACGTCTGTGTGAAGCTAATCTATTTTCAAGAATCCCCCGCAAAGTCCCTCTGTTAAAAAAAAGGCACATGCAGAAGAGGTTACAATTTGCCAAAGAACACATCAACTGGCCTAAAGAGAAATGGAGAAACATTTTGTGGACTGATGAGAGTAAAATTGTTCTTTTTGGGTCCAAGGGCCACAGACAGTTTGTGAGACGACCCCCAAACTCTGAATTCAAGCCACAGTACACAGTGAAGACAGTGAAGCATGGTGGTGCAAGCATCATGATATGGGCATGTTTCTCCTACTATGGTGTTGGGCCTATTTATCGCATACCAGGGATCATGGATCAGTTTGCATATGTCAAAATACTTGAAGAGGTCATGTTGCCTTATGCTGAAGAGGACATGCCCTTGAAATGGTTGTTTCAACAAGACAATGACCCCAAACACACTAGTAAACGAGCAAAGTCTTGGTTCCAAACCAACAAAATTAATGTTATGGAGTGGCCAGCCCAATCCCCGGACCTTAATCCAATCGAGAACGTGTGGGGTGATATCAAAAATGCTGTTTCTGAAGCAAAACCAAGAAATGTAAATGAATTGTGACACTGCTATTTTTTTTAACACACCCCTTTCAACTAATTGCCCAATTGCACAGCCTTAAGAGCGTGCATATCATGAATGCTGGGTCTTGTTTGCTTTCTGAGAATCTACTGCACCTACTGGTACCTTGTTTGCCATGTAGCAATAAAAAATATACTAAAAACCTGGATCATTCTGGTTAGTCACATTGTACTGCTATTATTTTGAACAATACTGTAGGTCTTGGCGATGGTTGAATGAAAAAATATATAATTTTTTTTTTCCAGTTTTGTTAGTGTACCGAATTTCTTTACATAAAATTAATCCCCACTATAGCCTATGTAGTGCTACAGGTTTAATGCATTACTTATTGTTTTGTCCAAAGAATGTCACATCTCTTTCATGCTGTGCGCAAACTCAATTTAATTTTATTTAGACAGTAATAAGCTATCCCGCACTTGTCCAAGCACAAGGCCCAAGCAATAATGCCTCTAGTTCAGCACACTATTCTGTCTGTCCAACACCAAATTACAGTTTGCTAGATTTCCACTCCCTCCAGTAGTGATGTCAGTTAATAATCACCATTAAAATGATTGTAACTGATTTAAAAACTGTGGTGCATGTGTATTGAATGTAACCTTTCTAAACATGTTGTAATGTGCTTTGAATCGACAAATCTTGTAAAAATGTCTGTAGCATGACCAACAAACACTACAGAACACTAATTTAGGTTTATACTTAAATGTTTAATACCGAATCTTTTTGTATTGTAGCATATAAAGTACAAGTTCAAATTCATGAATTATATGGAGACTTGCCATTGCACTGCTGACATATTTGAATCCATGAAACCAAATAAGACATTTCAATATAGTCATGTTTTTACATTCTTCTGTTCTAAGCTCTAAGCAGATCACCGCCAGCATGCATCTTAAAATACTTACAAAACTCTTGCACAAATATCCTTGTTACAGCCCCCTGCTCCCCCCCCAAATTAGTTTGGGGAACTAAAATGCACTTCGAAAAAGACTTTTGTAAAGGAACTATGTTGAAGCACACACCAGAATGTTTTCTCTTTGTGCTTACCCAGCCATTCAAGGTGAATTTTTTTTTTTTTTTTTTTTGCAAAACATGCTGCTGGTCTCCTGTTAATACTTTGTTATGGTTCTTAATAACTGACCTGAAATCTTAATAAACCAATACCACCTAGATATAAACTGGTTTTGTCATTTTCAGTAAATCTAACAAAGCTCAAATAATCAGCTTGCATGTCTGACACAGTATTTGTTGCCCAGTCTTAAGACTTAAGAAAACACATATCACATCTGTCAAAAACACAGTAGTGACGAACTAGGCTGAACATCTCTGATTAAAAAATGTGACTTTGATGGTAAAACAAGTTTTATTAAGAACTCCAGTGTGATGTTCATAGCATGGATTGATTAATAATGGTTGTAAGTCTTTACTGCCCCATGCAGGACCTGACAGAACCACACAGATTAATTCTAAAAGGAGTCAAATGAGGTGGAAGCTGTTATTTAAAAAACTGAAAACAAAGCAATGTTTATTTCACTGTTATATACACAGAAATTAAAATGTAAATTGAGCCATCTCAAATCAAAACCATTATTGATGTTAAGACACCATGAAATGGTCAGTGTTCAAAATTCAGCCTCAAATTTACACAGCAAATCTACAGGTGAATATTTATAAACATCTTAGCAGGCATTTAGCCTCAGTGGAACCTGGACACAAATGGCACACTCTGTAGTTTTCCTAAAATGCCACTTCCTGTTCCTACATAAAAGGTGGGCCTGTTCCAGTGCAGGAAAAAGCCCTGTATTTGGATGGTTGGTTGTACCTACATAATATATAAGAAAACAACATTAATATTTCAAACAATGGTGTGCAAGCTATTCGTTTCAAAGCTTTCTTTACTTGAGAAACACAAATCATGTATAAACACAACAGGGAGCACTGATACAGCTAGTACAGAGTGGATTATTATGTACAGAATATATTAGGTCATTGTGGCATTAGATGTCTGACATTGTATTTTGATGTGTCGTGGTACTGGGTCATAGGTTTGTCTGCGATACCACATGTTCCCACTCCCACCTTTCCATTTACGCTTTCTGGAGATGCAAATATGCTCCTCTTTACCTAAGAAAAAAGTAATTATTAACCGTTACAAATACAAAACAACAGAGTACTGGATTACTTTAACAGGTGTATACTCCACACAGTCTCCCAGTTGTATTTCATGGACAGTGTGTCACTAGTTTAAAGTTTCTTTGTCCTGTGGTCACGTATGGTATTACATTATGCGTCATGCCATGAGAGGGAGATGGGGTGGATGAGGCAAGGTGTTAAACAGCTCAAAACCTGCTGCTTTCTGGCAACATTCTGAATTTTAAATTACATTCCATGTTATACTGACTTGGAGTTTTGAGCTTTTTACTACAAGACTTATGCAACCATGTGAAAAGTTAACATGATGATGTCAATTTTAATGCTAGAAAGTTATTTTGCAACAAGCTTAAATCTCAGCTAACAGGCTATGGAACAGTTAGTTCTCAAACTTGAGGATCCTTGTCAGAAAACTGGTTGCAGTACAGCAAAGATTTTAAATTACAGTGAGAGATATTTTAAATTCTGGCCATTAAATACCACAAGTACTGATTAAGTAACCCAAAAGATTGTTTAGCGAGTGTCTCTGTAGTAGCTAACACTTCTCCACACAGTCCCAACCGTGAATGCAACATCAAAATTCAAGTTCGGCACTAACACAACTGTTGTCACTTTGTCTTTTGCTTTATCGTGCTGAATTTATCACCTTGTTTCAATATACAGTGAGTTTAATTGTGGCTAGAGGTATAGCTTAAGACCAGATCACCTGATGCTCTGACTTGACAGACATCATGTTTTACATACAGTGGAACCTCTGTTTTCATGATTAATGCGTTCGAAAAAGTCAGAAGAAAATCGAATGTACGAAAACTGAAGCAATATTTCCCATAAGAAATAATGTAAATCCCATTAATCCGTCCCAGACACCCAATAATACATTTTATAGAGAATAATTATATTTTTACATACAGAAAACAATGAGAAATAAATATAAATGACTAATGAAATGGATAAATTAACATTTAACATCACTTTTATCTTTATTGAAGACTGTTGTTGGCGTATGGAAGACAGCGAGGAGGGGAGAGGGAGGAGGAGAGGTTATTGTTTGGAAGGGGAATCCCCCTCCATAAGGACTTCATGTATCAAGGCACTATCTGGGGTTACTTCCCTTCACTCATTTCTTCCGGGAAATTAGTGGCCGAGTCACGCGGGCAGGCGAACGACTTCGGTAGGGACTAATGACGCTGAACTGACCAATCAACTGTACAAAAACCGAGCGGATGTACGAAAACTGGGACAAAATTTCGATGAAAAAAGTCGTCGAAAACCGAATCGTATGAAAACTAGGGCATACGAAAACCAAGGGTCCACTGTATTTTGTCTCAAATGTTTTATTACTGCAGAGCTACTCTTTGGCTACTTTAAAAATAAACCAGCGGGGGATTCACTACAGATCTGCTGCAGTGGAAAAATATAAAGCAAGAAAGGAGATACTACGAGTATAAAACTACTGTCAACAGCGCTTGCTCAGTGCACCACAGACTACTACTTTCAATAGATTAAATTAAAAGAAAACGTACCTGTCCTTTCTTGTTCTTTGAGTAGGCTTTGTTGTTGAACTGCTGCCACTTTGATTTTTGCTCCTCCCTCTCTTGCTCCAACTCCTTCATCCTCTGTATCTTCTTCTGGGCTTTCTTCTTCTTATACTCTCTCTGCTCTGCTATCTGCTCTTTCCTAGAAAAACAGAGAATGAGGAGAAAATGTTTAAATCCTGTCCATGATGTACAAACAGAACCACAAACATGTTATTAAAAATACAAAATAGCATTAGTCAGTCCAACATACAGTACAACTGAAAGGCTATATTACACAGACCAAAAGGTGCACTGGACAAATAAACTTAACCAAGAAAAACTGATGGCAGAGTACAACAAAAAAGGCGGTGTGCCCTGGCCATGAGTAGTGAAACAACTAAGCTACTCATTCTACCAATTATGGCTCTAATAACCTAGGTACAGCTAAAGTCTGTCCATGTAGTTTCCTTAATATGTGAAATAGTAGGTTTTGGCTCAGTTTTTTGTATGCACACTGCAGGAGTGACACAAAGTTATTGTGATCATACTTTGATTTGGGCTTCACACTCCCATCTTCAGCAGAGCGCTTCCCCATCTCTACTGCTTTGAGGTTCTGCAGAGGGATCACTTCAGCATTCCCGTATCCAGTGAAGGTAATGGCTGCAGTGCCGTTGTCTTGGTCTATCTCCTCAATCTCAGCCTCATACACCCTGCCAAAGAATCACATCTGTAAGCAGGTGAGTATGAGCCAAAGACTCAAGCTCTACTTAATAAGCAAAACGTTAACACTAACATATAAAGGTTATATGTAAGTGATTGTGTGATTAGACTAAAGGGGAGATATATATACATATAATTTTGCCCCTCAAGAATATACATTTCCTACAAACTGACTTTTGCTCCCCTTAAGGTCAAATATGCATGAAATTAGTTTGTTTCATGCAGATGTATTAAGACGTAAAAACAATGTCTATTGAAAGTCGGTATTCAGTAAACAAAAAACGTTTCCATACATTATGTAACTACATAACAATAGAAAAACTGAGGCATGCTCTATGCTCATATTTTAAATAGTTATTTACTACTGGTGCAGGCTGAGAATTTAAACACCTCATTATTTTAACCAAGGTCAACTACGTAGCACTCAACAACTATTCGTCAATTGAAAGTAAAGATGTTACACTTCATATGCAAAAATTCATAGCCAGGTACAGATGTAGGTACAATAGAATATGAATAGACCACCACAATATAATTTGTGCATTTGTTACAAAGACAGAAAACTGAATTAATAATGTCAAAACACAGAAAATTTACAACAATTTAAACACATTAAGGCTTGCTGTGTGAATGATCTGGTTTAGGGAACTTACCAGTAGATACATTTCTCTCTCTTTTTACATTGTCCAAAATAAGAAGCAAAAGCTAGTTACATCTCAGAAAACAAAATGCACATTTGAATGTATTCATTTGGCAGATGCTTTCTGTCGAAAGTTATGTACAAATCTATGGTTTTAAGAAAAACAACAAACATGATCAGACAAAACCTAATCCATAAAACCACTACTGAGTCAAACAAGTTCAAATGTAGTGCAATAAGGCATGTAGCTACATGCAATGTTTTCATGAGAAGAGGCTGGTGACACTCACTGTCCATCCTGACTCCATGCAGCCATACACTTGTCCCCAATTTTCCAGCTGTGTTTCAGGGGTACTGTGTCAGAGCCATTAGTACTGGATGCACCATCATTGGGCTGTGAGGTCAAGAGGTCTTTTGTCAAATCAATGACTTCCTGTAAGAGAAACAACAAAAACTCAGTCAGATATTCATAAAGAACCAGGCAGATCTTTCTCCAGGAAAAATATGGTTAGCAAAAGCAGTGAAGGGTAAAGAGGGGAATGGGTTATCTATAGGGATGTGAGTCTCTTGTGGTAGTAGGAGATCTGGAAATATTAAAATATGACAATATTTCTTGTGGCAAAAGCCGTCTCGCGATAACAGTAGTCTAGCAAAAATGCAGCTCCCTGTAGTGTTTTAACGCACAGGGCTGCATTGGACGGGCGTGAGGGGTTGCAGGGGCAGTGTTGTAGGCATATATGATATGGCCAAGTTGTGATGAGCTGACATGAGTAGCTTCATTCACATTTCCAGCCCGTGAGTTACCGTTGTGTTTTGGTTAGCCATGCCACCAACATAGCCTACTCTACCTTAGCTTCAATTCTACCACCAGTGTGTCTGCATTGATAGATAAAAACAACAACAACAACAACAACAGTTTAACATCCAGTAATAGCAAAAATGCATGGCATGTCATTATGGTGCATTAACTGTGCAATTGTCCTATGTATATGATTGGTCAATGCAGCACCTTTGGTCTAGTGTGCCGAGGATGAAAATAGCATAGTAGGTCACACACAGCTTCAATTTTAGAAGTTAAAAGCCCATGCAAAGTTCATGCACAGTTATAAGGTCTGAAGAAGTGAAATCGCACAGAAAGGAGAATCCAGTCTGTTGAGTTTGTCACAAAACCTTTTACAGTGCTTGCATGTTGTTGTCTTTTACTACATATGATCATTCATACTCAGAAAGTAGAACTGAAGTGACATTCGTTACAAGCTGATAAGTCAAATCATTTCAAAATGCACATGCATTCTTTTTGCATTTTGTGATTATCATGAACCCATTACTGTGTATCATCACGTGGGCTAAGTGTATGGTCACAGCACTAGTTATTTACCAAGTCACTGGCCAACACACACTGGCATATCATAAAATAACCCGGGAGCCATGGCTACATACTTCATAATTCAGGGTTAGCAAATTAAAGTTTGAAAATGATTACACAACATCATGATAATAATAATGTGATCCTTTAACACTAAAGAAAAACATATTTTGGAATAACATAATAATAATATGTATACTATATTATTAAGGGGTCATTTGACTGGTTATTTGCTTTGTGTAAAAAGATATCAGAAATTACTAAAATGCCACATGTTCGCAAGGTGGCATTTTGGTCGTTGTAACGTTAGCCCTCTTCTAAAGCGATGTGCAAATGCACCATTTGGAAGTACAGTAAAACATACAAACCTGTAAGTCTTTCTGGAGCTTAAGAAGGTCTTCGTTATCTGGATCAGTAGATAAAGCGACTTCTACTTGCTGCAGCTGGGCTTTGTAGCTGCTCAACTGTTTCATCAAGTCGTCCGACATCTGTGTGATAGCATAAATGTTTAGTTTTCTAGAACAGCTGGCTTGGCGTATTAGCACATGTCCGAAATGCTAAAGGTAAACATCTTGTATTTACCAAGCTAGTTTAGATTAGCAATAACATAATTACGCGAATAATTATTAGCAAACGCGAAATGAATGAAACCTGCGCAACTCACCATCAACAAGAAACATGTTATATAATGTTAGAACGTTCATATTAGCTTAGAACAGTTAGCAAGATCCTCAGGCCTTTTTTTCCGTCGACGTACATTTATCGTACGGCGGCTAATGCTAGCTAAAAGCGGCCAAGGGGAAATCACAAAAACAAAGCATTGATGCGTAATCTTACCTCTGTACAAATTATATTTACTGATAAATACAGTAAGCATTCAAATCCCAACTCGACCAATCGCCAAAACGACTGCTTAAAAGAACAACAGTAAACTCTCCTTCCTCCCGCACACAAAAAGGCCACCGGAAGTCCGTGCAACACTTTCTCGCGATAACACGATAGCTCGTTTCAACACCATATGGTTTCAGCCAGGTGTCAACCCTCTAACATACAGTATAGATGATAAATAGCTATCTCAGTGTGTCCCACAAATTGCAGGTAGGTCTCATGGATGTCATAGCCTATACTTCTATAAATAATGAGGCATATAGCAACATAAAAGAGTTGTAAAATAGAACGTGTGTGGATAATATTCTAGGTAGTCTCTCTTACATTCAGGAAACACTGTTTATATCAATAAAACAACATTACAACATGAATTATATACAATATATATAAGATTTTTACCTATAACCTGATTTCACTCTATCAAAATTATCCAATCACAGGATGTACTCAACTCAAATATAACCCATTGTAGATGCTAAGTCTGTTATAGTCTAATGCATAAACATCATCAAGCCATTTAGTTAAATATGTGTGCTGAGCAATAAACAAAACTGCATCATCTTAAAGTGAATTAAAAGAGATAATTACAAATCCATGCTGGCTGGCATGCTTGTAGCTACTTGTAGCTATAAAGCAACACATTCAGTAAATGGTAAAACAATAATGTTATTAATTTGAAAAGCTCAAGAATATAAAGAATCACAAGCTACCACAATTAAAATCCTTGTTATCAGCATGTCCTATCAACCTGCAAACATTTATTGTTAAACCTTGCTTACAAACAACATTGTTGTTGCATAGTAGATGAACATAGTTTGGTCAGAGAAAACTATTTTTAATGATTATATTTATATATCAAATACAACATGCAAAATACATCAGTAAATTCTCTTCAATGTATTCTTAATCAAGAAAGCAATCATTTGTCAAGGTAAAAGGTTTTATCCTTATAAATATACTGCTCTTGCTGTTCTCTTGCACTAGTAGCTCAGACCTAATCTATAAATTCAGATTCTTTCAAGCTGTTCTTCAAGCTTCTTTCAGCATATCTCTGAACATTTTGTTCATAAAGAACAACTACAAAACCATATAGACTGTATTTGTAAGCCATTGTCATTTTACAGGCTACAGATATTACATCTATAAATCAAGAATACTGTTAATGCCATAATCAGTCAATTGTTTCAGGGCCTGGGAGCAACAACACCAAATGGGTTTTAAATTTCCAGCAGCAGATGAACCCCGCCCATTACTGAAATGGAGCCAGCACCACAGATCCTCAGCCTCATATCAAGCCAATATAAATGCCGCACTCCACACTTCAGCCACAATAGACAAAAAGATCTGTCTGAGCCAGCGCTATCTGCAATTTAAGTTTGTTTTTTGAAATGTCTTCCAGGAGGACTTAACTGCAAGTTCTTATTCTAAAAGGTTGGTGGATGAAGAATTATTTATTTTTTTTATAGAATATATCTATTTTTTTTAATTATCTGATGTGGAGAACTGGGATAAATCAAAGTTCAATTAATTTCTTTCTTTGTTTTTGTCTTAATACAAAGCATTATTTCTTGTCATTTTTCTCTGCTGGCATCTATTTTCTTACTGACCAAGAGCAAAATAACACAGATTTCTTTGAACAAGATCTTCCTCAGTGAAAAGACTCAATTATCTGGTGCTGTGTTCTTGAATTGATGCAATTAATAGACTGCTGGCTAGCACAGCTTCCAAGCCTCCTAACAGAGCAGTGTTCAGACAATATCATCGATATCACAGCTTATCCTTATGGGCTGTCTTAACTTTAGCGGAAATGAGACTTTGCCTGGCAGGCATCCATATACTGTGCAGACCTCTGTGCTGCTAACGATTCTGGTGGGCATCTTCATCCTGCTAACCGTGTTTGGCAATGTCATGGTAGTAATTGCTGTAATCACAAGCCGAGCCCTGAGAGCACCTCAGAACTTGTTTTTAGTCTCCCTGGCATGTGCGGACATCCTAGTTGCCACCTTCGTGATGCCATTCTCTTTAGCGAACGAACTGATGGGTTATTGGTACTTTGGTAAAATATGGTGCGAAATCTACCTGGCTTTGGATGTGCTCTTCTGCACCTCATCAATTGTTCACCTGTGTGCCATCAGCCTGGACAGATACTGGTCTGTCACTCAAGCCATTGAGTACAACCTGAGGAGGACACCACGCAGGATTAAAAGGACAATCTTCATAGTCTGGGTGTTGGCGGCCATCATTTCCTTCCCTCCACTTATCACAATGAAAAAGGATGAGGGTAAAGAGGACAGCCCCAAATGTAGAATTAATGAGGAGAAATGGTACATTATATTCTCCAGCACTGCCTCCTTCTTTGCACCCTGTGTCATCATGATTACGGTGTATGTTCGAATCTACCAGATTGCCAAGAAAAGAACAAAAGCCCCTCCAGGCGAAAGACAAGGAGCAAATAACAAGTCAGAAGACACAAAGTATAGTTTGGAAACCCTGGAGAGAAAATACAGAGAAGGGAGAGAAGTGAAAGGCAAAGACTGTAGAGAGGTCAATGGGATAGACGTGGAGGAAGAGCCCTCCTCTTCTGATGGAAATGAAATCACCCCTTGTTCCCTGAAGAAAAAGAGGGGTCTGAGAACATCCAAAGTGGCTCAGGTGAAGCCTGGAGAAACCTTGAAGCCAGAGGTGCAGCCCAGTGTGAGAATGAACAGGTGGAAAGGAAGGCAATACAGAGAGAGGCGTTTCACTTTTGTTCTGGCCGTGGTTATGGGAGTGTTTGTTCTCTGCTGGTTCCCCTTCTTCTTCACATACACACTCACTGCTGTGTGTTACACCTGCTGTGTCCCAGAGACACTGTTCAAGATGTTTTTCTGGCTCGGTTACTGCAATAGCTCACTAAATCCTGTTATATACACTATATTCAATAATGACTTCAGAAGGTCTTTAAAAAAGATCCTTTGTGCAAGGGATAGAGGAACTTTATAAAGATTAATAAAGATTGTTATATATGCATTTTAAAAACTCTAAGGCTGTTATCTGTTTAATATTACATTTAAAATATATACGATATTTACTAAATATTTGAAAAATGTGTACTGTAGAATATTTTACTTCTGTTTTAACATTTATGTACTTCCGTGTCAGCAAATGTTTGTTTTGGTGGACATGTAATGTGCAGTTTGTTTTACGGCTAGGATTGCACTGTGACAACCTGTGAATTTAGACATTAACACTATACAACTGTGACAATATGGATGATACTTTTTTAAAATGTCTGTTTTGTGTCATATATAGCATACCATAAATCATCTGAAATGTCAATAGTTTGTAAATAGACATGGCCAGTAATTTCATTATAACTGAAAACTAAGTTATGTGCTCATGGTGGTGATCATCTTGCAAGAGAAAGGAAACATGCAAATGATACAAATTCCTTGGAAACTAGGTCTCTCCCTCTGTAATTATTAGAAATAAAGAAAAGACTAATTTAGAAAAGCAGATGCATGTAAATGCACATAAAAAATCTTTGTACAACAGTATAAACAAAAGCAAGAGCATAGGAAAGCATATTGCACTTAACAATATGTTATCCCCATACCACCAGCTATCTCCTTCTCTAATAACAAGCACAAGTACAAAACAATTATGGGAAAAGAAAATTGTGCCTAGGAGGTTGGGGTTGCTCACCAACACTGAATGCAGTTTATCATGAATTATAGCCCTTCATATCAGGACACCATTAAATCCTCCCCTGGAGTCAAACAGAATTCATGGAGTGACTGAAATATGATTGACTGCTGCAAATTACACTGTGAGGTTAATATCCACACAAGCTTATCAATGCTCTGTGTTCTTGTCAACACTCTCTGCCTCTTCTCGGTTTTCACATCATTATAACCATTCTTTAACAAATAGACTTTTATACTAGTATAAATATGTGAGGCTGAAATAAACTAAATGCACCATCTGTAATTGCTTTAATTGAGCAAGCATTTCCTCCTGATGACCTCTCATGTATACTGTAAATAACAGCATGATTCCCATGACTTTCTCTGTGGGATACTGGTGTTTTGAGATTCCTGTGGTACACATCTTTGGGATCAACCATGTCCCTAATTCTTAAAAAATAACATCTATTACTTACCACAAATGGCAAACTATAAGACCTACTGTACTGCTGATCGAGTTCCCATGAACAGTCTGACAAAACATTTATATTTGAGGCTTTGTGGCAATGAGAATTCATGCTATTCCGCAGCCTTTCTTAGAACAGTGACGCTAACAGTTGGCATCGATATATACACGAAAAAGGGTGATTCCTGCCATTCCAGGATTTATGAAGAGTGAAACATATTATCATAATTGTAACATTTTAGCAGATGTAGCTGTTTGAATTAATACTTAGCAATTAACATTATGTGACATTTAGTACTATAAAATGTTTGCAAGACAGTCTTTAAAATAGGTCTACATGGCCCTGATTCACGGCACACCAATGTGCCTTGAAAGATTAAAGTGCCGTAATTGCCATCTGAATGCACTGTTTAATTAAAATGACAAATCTTCTGGAGTTTGTCGCTATGCCTGAGTAGCAGAATGCATATATTATATTTATAGGGCACATACTCACAACAACAGAGAGATGAAATGTCAAAATATCTATGACATTACTTGCCCAAAAACATTAATAAAACTAAAGAAAGCATAAAAAAAAAATTTAAAGAGGTGAAAGGGAAACAAAAACCTGAATAAATTATTCATTAAAAACTGTTGACTTATATCTCCCCATTAGTATGTTAAATGTAACATACAGAATTAACTTTGTGTTGCTCATTGTTTTCAAATGTGTAATGTGTCACTGAACTTAGTTTTCAGTCGTATAAATTATAGTTGGTTACAAGCAGTTGGTAACCCTCGCTATTCTCATCACAAACATGTCTCCTTTTGCTCTCTGCTGAGACAATGATTTATCTTCCACTATAAAGGCCACTTCAAACTGCCACAATTTATGATTGTGACATCACAGCTTATAAAACTATACAAGCTGCCACTGGCTGGAGTTCCCACAACCTTCATGCAGCTCCCCGGTTAGTGTTCTCCATTTGCTTTTAATTTCTCATGCCTCGAACTCTAAGTGCTTCTCAAAGCTGCTAGTCATGTCTCTCATAGAGGCTGGTGAACAAAGCAATGAAAGACCATAGAGAACAGGCTACATCCCAGATATACAGAGATTGCTGAGGCAGGATCACACAGAGTCAGGCAGAGACACCGAGACCATACTAACAAGTTTAAATCATAGCTAGTGATGAATAGTGTGTTTTTAATTGAATGTTGAGTCATTCATTATGGATTGAGAACAATGCATCACACACACTGGAGCATATAATACTTCCTCCCTCTTGAATTGATAAGGATGCAAGTTAACCAAATTACATTCTGAGGGATGTAGCAGCAGGAAGATCCTGTTTAATTTGCCTCATACAATCTCTGTTACTTTCTCTACTCCATGGACTCACCAATGCAAAAGAAAAGTCTTATTTTAACCCATAGTTTTCAAATGTATTTAATTACATTATTTTCAGTTTAAGTATGCAGATGATGGCAACATTTCGGCAAGACATACAGTTTTGAAATGACTGACAATATTAGTAAGAAATCCAAATGGCTTGCCAGCCCAAATGTTTTCTGGCTGCTACGATTGGAGCTATTAGAGGGAATTTTTGATCTCCTTTCCTTGAGAAAGGGATTTGTATTGGGGATTAAAAAAGTGAATAAACCCTGATAGGGGTTTTTTTTAATTCTGTTTTCTTAACTCATCAAAAAAGCTAAACAGGCTTCTCTAAAAGAGGCTCAATAGGATCCTGGGGGAATGAAGACCCTACTGGGAATTAACATAGCCAAACACATAGATGATGTGGAATTTAGTAAATATAGCTAATGTATCAACAAATAGAAGCTCATACTTTAGGACAACCAGTATACTCAACTCATTCTGTCTTGCATTTAATTACATTTTACCCTCCCCCCTTTTTAGACACAACAGAACATTTTGGTTGTATTATTAATCAAAACAATAATCAGATCAAATTAACCAGAGTGTGCTCCACGGTGTCTGTTGAATTTAACTAATTTTAACTGTATTTGTGTAGCTCAGAGCAAGGTGTTTGAATAAATATGTCTTTGAAAAAACTGACAAAACTCTGCACACCTGACTGTGTGGCAGGTGAGTCAAAGAAAGGGCTTATTTTTGTTTCAATAAACAATATAAAATGTCTCTATGAAGCCATTCTTCCATGAATACACAGAAAATAAAAAGATGGGAATATATATGAGCACAAAATGAGGGGTCATTTACTGGAATCAAAATTAATAATTTTCCAGCTAATGTCACTATAGCAGTTTTATTTAGTTAATCTAACTGGAGTTATTCCGCCTTTAGATGTAAAGACTTTTTTGGCTGGATCCCCTCTGTCTGCTTTCTGTATTAATTTTGAGTACATTAAAATTGATCTCTGATGTTTTCTATTATAAACAATCTGTTTTACACAATAGCCTTATCTTCTCTGATCTCCTTTAAGCAACAAGTACACTTGGGAACTTGTGTGTGTTTGACAGTGAGATATAGCAAAAAAAAAATAAAAAAATAAAAACGATGGGGGTATTGGCTAAACCAGTCTCAGAATGTGGTTCTTACTCATCGGTCTTGTCCATCAAATCAGTCACAATAAATTAACATTCAATAAAAAGTGGTGGTTAGTATACATCGTAACTCTGATTCTCCTTGCTCATCAAAAGCACCATCTCTGAGAAACTCCAAGCACCATATGCTTTCTATGTTCTGTAGTGAATCCTCACTGATAGCAAATTAGGTTCTGGAAAATCTCCTGCGCCGGACACCATAATTCTTAATAATAGCCATCTTGTCCTGTCTGTGTCATTGATCATATCCACCTCCACACTGGCCTACTCCCATCATCTTGCACAGGCTTCTGCACAGCATCATCCCCCACCTACACCATGGATGATGGCAACTACACACACACAAAGTAAACACAAACTCCTGACCAAGCTTACCATGATTGTACTTTGTCTTCAACATCCAGCTGGTGTTGTCAACCATTCATCTCTCGCTGTCAGGTAACACACACCTACACACAGAGAGAACAAGACGTATCACACTGTCCACTGTGACTTCTCTATGTGCTCACCACTTCTCCTTTTCATCTCTGTTTTACGTCTTTTTTTGTCAGAGCCCCAGGCAAAGGTAGTTAAAATATTGTGTGGATTATTTCTATTGCAATGTGATTTACAGTAGTTAAACGAATAGCCCCTGTAGTGTAAAATTACGGTTTATTAAATTATCATACCAACTCCTATAGCTTTGTTAGCATTTCATAAGTAAAGTTGCTAATTATAACCCAGATAGCTAGAGTAAGGTTAAAGACTAATATGGTTAATCAAAATTTATTATGAAGCAATTTTGTTTTGGCTTAGTCAATTTGTGTCTCTTTCATACTGTCTAGTTATGATTCTTAGTATTTGTCATTCTATAACAAAACTGAGAACATGTACTTACAGAAACTACACTGTAAAGAACAACAGTTTATAACAAACATTTTACAGGAAATAGAGATTAACAAAGATAAATTGCAAAACAAAACCCTAGTGCAGCACTCAAGGGAATTTATTCATGCTTGTTTGTGCAAGCTTGTTTTTGTTAAGGAGGAAAACTGCAATAAAGAATTTCTTTTTTTTTTTTACAGGTTACCCAAGTATTTTATCTTTGTTTTGAAATGATTTATTAAGCTCCATGTAGGCTGTTCCTTGTTGGGCAGGAAGGAGAACACACCCCAGAATAATAAGTGCTCTCAACTGTAGAAATGATTTCATTTTGCAAGAATAACCAGTCATACTCATCTCCATTGTAACAAACATTATTACATTATGCCAGCCTCAAATTTGGAGCCTCCCTTCAAGAAATCAGAAACATTAACTACATGTATTATCATTGATACAATACAGGACATCAATCACTTGCAGAATAGTTAATTAAAAGAAGTGAGTTGAAACACGTTTTCCCTTGGTTAATATATTTCTGTGCTGTTCAGGTTGGGATGCAAACAATTCTAAACCAGAAAGCATTAATTTAATCATAGCATTGTAGCTTGCTTGGACTCTGAGCAATTTAGGAAAGAGGAAAGAGGCTGCATGAGTCCAGATAAGATGGGGCTACAAGCGAATATTTTCATTATCAATTAATCTTCGGATTTTTTGTTTGTTAATTATTTTGTTCTCTAACATCAGATAATATTGAAAAATGTATTTTTTTTTTGTTTTTAGCAGCCTGCTGCAATGTCTGTAAATGTGTTGTTTGAAACAAAAACAAACAAATGAAGTTTAGTGTGATGCATGACAAAGAAATGCAACCATCTATTCATCCATCCATTATCTATACCACTTACCCAGAAGAGGGTTGCTGGAGCCAATCTCTGGAAAGGAAGAAATGCAACAAATTATTACATTTTAGAAGGTTATAGGTTATAGAACCAGCAAATAGCTGACATTTTTGCTTATAATTGCGACCAGAACAGAACAGAAATGAGCAGAACTTATTTGATTATCAGCAGTTTTAATCCATATAACTGCACAATGCGCACTTACACAGTTAAGCCACGCCGTGGCCTCTCTCCCTATAGCCTACACACTGAAGCAAGTGAGAAAGGAAAGGTGAGTTGTGAGCTATGACCGCCCCCTGCAGACAGATGTGTGGAACTACAGTAATACATAAAGCTCAGCCAAATGGTAAAACAAGCTGACATAAGAAAAATGCATGTCATAAATATAATATTTAACGCGGAGCGTTTATTTAGCATGCGCAGTTGTGTGTGAGCATGCGTGCTTTTTTAAGTGGCACGAGCTCAGCCTGCGTGTTGTGCGTGCCCTTCCACAGCCAATCACCGTGTAGATAAACAGAAATGTTGCGTCATTGTTATTGTTGTAGTTGGACCTCCAGCTGCTTTCTGAGATTTCGCCACCATTTCGCTTATATGTAGGCTTCTATTTAAAACTGCGTAAACGCGTGGACCTGAAGGATTATAGCAGTACGATGTCGCTCCAGAAAGAAATTTCATCTGACGAGAGTCTGCAAGGTAAAGTATAAACGACAAAAGAGCTGGTAACTTGCCAGTGTTCATGTTAGCACTAGTCGACAGTCAAGAAAACACGACGTAACGTTAAATCACCTGACAGGGCTTGAACAGATAGGGATCCAGCTAACTAGCAAGTCAAAGCTTAACGTTACTACATATCGATCTGTTAAGTTAGACGTAGACAGACCATGTCAAGAGGACAGGCAGTTGTTTTAGTTGGTGTGCTGTTCTACTGCATCCCTAGCTGTGATGCCATATTGGATATCCGCCACGTCGGGTTTCATCTGTAAATTCTGTGTATTATATTTAAGGTTCCTGGGTTGAACTGCATTTCAGTGGCACTGGTTCTCAAAGTACTAGTCATCATGGAAGCCAGGAGCAAATCCCCACGTCCAGCCAGGAGTGCGAGGTGGAGAAAATGCTGCTAGATGCACAGCACGAGTCAGGCAGGAGCAGCTCCAAAGGAAGCTCTCAGTGCAACAGGTTTGTTCGAGAAAAGGGGAAGCAGTATTTCTCTAGTATGTTGTAATACAGATTGGAACGTTACTTTTCGACAAAGTGTCCTTTATGTACTGTCTTCTTCTGAACAGCCCACTCAGAGCACAGACCCCCCTTCTTCTGTTGAGAGGCTCAGAGGGAAACAGCTCACAGGTATTTGTTTCAACCAGTGACCTGAATATGACTTTTAAGTGTTGTTTCATGAAATAGTTTATATGATATCTCATAGTATAATGTTTTTAAATATCTGTGATGTGCTCTGACAGCACTTAATTTTCCACATCTGGTGTTTTTAGTCAGATGAAGACTTCCAAGAAAGAAGACGGGAGGTAGAGAACCTGATGAAGAAAAATGCTGACTGGATCTGGGACTGGTCTAGTCGACCTGAGAACAGTCCACCAAAGTATGTAGCCACCACTGAATTGGTAATTCTTGAATTACAGTGTCAGCATCTTGTTTAAAACAACACTTCCAAGATTGAAATGAAAAATGTGTGATTGTAGAACTATAAAGCAGTTTGTTTCATTATGAATCATATGATACAGTCTGGCTGCCCATGTAAGTGCTACCAATAGGAAAAACTGTATTGGATAAAGGGATGGTATAGGTAACAGGCATAGGAAGTTGTTAAACACTTTTGTGTTAATCTCTTACATGTATTAGCCTAAGTATATGATTTGTTATTGTAAATTTAAAATGATTATGTGAGCATAGGTGTCAGTATGACATTAAACTGGCACTCATTGTTTTTAATGTATTCAAAAAAAATGAAAAATTAATGTGCTTTTCTGTAGGGGGTTTCTGCTGAAGTACCCTAAGCGCTTGACCTCTCTCAGCATCAGGAACACCAGCGTCATGAAGAAGGGAGGCGTTCTCTCTGCCGATTTTCTGAAGATTTTCCTTCCCTCGTTAATCATTTCTCATATACTTGCTGTTGGCCTAGGGTAAGCAGTATCATTTAATCTCTAACTAGCAATAAAATAAAAACACTTACCAGTAATATGACCCTCTAGAGGTAATTAGAGATCTTTAAAGAGCACAATATAGCCTGAATTTTTACCACATACAATTGATATTATATCCACATAAGTAATTTGACACAGAGATGAAAATATATTTTGTATTTTTCAAATACTTGAACTTCAAATATTCTTGTTTTCCCTCTGCTTAGAAACATCACTGATCCAAGGAAACCTTTAATTGCTCCAACACAATATGAATAATTTAATAGTAGTCTCTGTATCAAACCACCTGCCAGTCAGTTTCATAGTGATATATTCTAGTCTTGTTTTTATTTTGGTGGAGGGACTACATTAAGAAGTCTCGATCTGAACTTTCATGAACGTCTAAAGACGCAGAATAGAAGAAACCAGTATAACCATCACAAAGACAAACAAACAAACAGAACATTAGCATGCTGATCTTAAAGTGTGTAAGCTGAATAGATAAAGGTTGGATAGGTGCTTCCTTGTTTTCACTGTCTCAGATTTAGTGGGTAAAAGCATAAAACTAATATTCTCATGACTATTTCTAACCCTGGGAGTATTCAGGTCACTCAGCTTAGTCAGGTGTGTCCTAACTATTTTGTCTTAAAATGCAAAGGCTTTAACAAATTTACTATATATGTTTCATACTGGTGGTAATTTGTCCCTAAAGCACTACTGCTCTATAATATAGTATCATCTTAGTGAGGGGAAACATAATGGGGCACATTTTATCTAGTGATATCAAGCCCCAGCTTCAGTACATATACATGCACAGAGAATTTTAAAATGTACCCAGAACTTGTCTTTCAGCACTGTCTTATTTTACATTTGACTTTCTTAATTTAGGATATACATTGGAAAGCGCCTAACCTCCCACAATGCCTATTAAGTCGGATGATGATGTCTTGCGACACCTTTATCACCTGTGAACACCTTGGAATGCCTTAAAATGGAACCTTATGAAGACTGAGGAATGTGACACGGTCTGATTTGATCACGTGCCCCACATCGCCAACACCAGCATGGAGAGTTAAAGATATCTCATTGTTGTTTCATGGAGTATAGTCTTGAACACAACATTGGCCAATCCTCTGCTCTTTGCTGTAGCCCTTGTCCTGGCTTGGAAACACGTGTTTTGCTGCTTCCTGCTCCATAAATCTGCACATTAGGGAACTGATACATGTTGTATATAACAGTCTTTTCTTTTTACAATAAGAAATTACTTGATTTTAATGATTTACTGTCAACAGACATTCCATGTCCCCAGGGCTAGTCTCCGTGTCCAGAGATCGGGTCGTCGGGGCCCCTGCCTTCGACTGCTGAGGAGGCCCCGGGGAAGACCCAGGACATGCTGGAGGGACTATGTCTCTCGGCTGGCTTGGGAACGCCTCGGCATTTCCCCCGGAGGAGCTGGAGGAAGTGTCTGGGGAGAGGGAAGTCTGGGCATCTTTGCTTAGACTGCTGCCCCCGCGACCCGGTCCCGGATAAGCAGAGGAAAATGGATGGATGGATGGATGGACTGGCAACTCATTATTTTTCTTTTAGATCAGCTGTGGATAAAGGAAATTTGTGTGTGTGTGTATGTGTGTGTGTGTGTATAGTCCAGGGGATTGTTAGCTCATTAGTGTAGTGTTAATGAGATTGAGATCCATTACTGATTGCTCAATTTAATAAACTGTAAATCATAATTGTAAAATAATCCAGTATTGACTAAATAAAAGCTGTAAATGCACATATGGCGCTGATGGATTTACAAACGCATTAACATGTACAGACATGACTCACAGGAACGGACCACATGCAGATGAACACAATTAAAATTTTATTGAACTTTGGTCAAAATAATAAACAAGTGAATACATTGCCACCATGTTAGGAATCAATGGACAAAGACAATGCATTATTACGTGTTTGTTTTAATGTCACCAGTATGTTTTGCGAGGTAAACCGTCATTCCTGCATTCACAACTACAGATATAAGATCCACATTTGCAATTTGTGGTTCAAATTTGGGTGACATCTCCAATAAATCAGTAAGGGCACATGTATGAGGCCTGTCTGAATTTCCTACTTATTACATGATCCAGAGGCGCTCTTCTTACATAAACTGTATGGTGTGCAATTTTTCTCCTCTGCGTTTTCATAGACAGCCACATATAGCAGCAGTATACGAGGACAAACTCTAAAATAGGATTTACAAATAATGCACATGAGGTTTGTAAAACATACGGGGACATAACTTGTAGCTGTCATTGATAGAAGTAGGTATTAAGGCTGCACATTCTTTGTCCTGGGCCCCATCTTGTGCCATGTAGTTTCCAGCCTGCATCTTTAAACACTGTCAAAACCTACAAACGGATCTGTCGACACAAACACATTACTGGCTGTTTGTTGACGGTGGTTCTAAAAGTGGTAGCCCCAAACTGTATTTCCAAGTTTGCTTGAGATCTGCTCAAAAGACAGTGGTGTGACTGGACATTTTTCCACCTCTCTACAACATAAAAACATGCAAAGCATTAAAGATGTTTTAATACATACTTCTAAATTTAAAAACACATCTGTTGTTTTAGTTTCCTTTATTATGTGGATGACAAGGTGTACTTGAGTAGATAAGAGTCAGTGAAATTATGTCACCGTATTGGCTGGGGTAAAGTAAGAGGAAGAAAATAAACAAGTCCACTTTCCAAATTCATGACCTCTTCCAACAGTAGTTTGGCCAGTGGGGGGGGAATGTTACAGTTAGCCTTCTTGGCTATTAATCCGTGCTTCAGAGGGCCCAGAATCTTTGCAATGATGTTATAACTTTTGACAAGACGTCATTTTAAGGGCTTCCAAGAGTTCTGTTGTTAAATCATGAAATGAAGGCTTAAAATGTCAACACAAACACCAACGTTCAAGAGTTTGACCTCCAGAGAGTGTCATTCCATCAATTAGACCTGAATTGGGCTTTCTGGGTCAGGGGGGCATGTTGACTGCCCTGGTGCCAAAGGCAAAAACAACCTAAGCTCAGACTCAAAATAAAACAGGCCTATGGATCAACCTCCTGTGGCAAAAAAAGTAGACACGTGCTTTCGAATTCTTCACCAGGAGGACAACGAGGCTGTTTCTTCTTATACAGATAGACAAGTAGTAGGCTTAACTACACAGGTATGGTAAAAGCCCTATCCTTTGGAGCCCCAAATCTTTAGTTGATTTTGTCCTGGAAAATGTACAAGTTGTTGGTGGCTGCCACAGCTATCACGTTATCTTTGGGGTGCCAGGCAGTGTGGAGGATCTTCTTGTTGAAGTCCAGGCTGTCCACGCTGATCTCATCCTTCTTCCTCTTGCCACCAGTGGACACTTTGCGTGGTTTGAGCGTTGCCCGTGGTTTGCTGCTCTCCCGGGACGCCTCCAGTGTGATGTCCCGCCTGGTGTTGCGGTCAAACATTCGGAAGAAGTTGTTGTAGGAACCGGTCATGATGGCACTGCCAGACAAAGGAAAATGAAATTGACTGCACTGACTTGCCAACAAAAAAAGTGTCACTAGTAATGGATACACTGACTACATAATCCAGGAACACAACACACAGTCGCTGGTAGTTGTCCTACAAGTGAGGATGCTTACCTGTCAGTGCCATTCCAGCAGCACTCGAACTTGTCAAAGATGCAGTCATTTTCATACAAGGAGCAGAGTTTACTGCGAAGGTATTCATGGACCTGAAACAAAACATATTACTTAGCCTAAATATTCACTTGAACCTGATGCATTCACCTACACTGATAGGTGTGAGTATAAAAGAGCACATCCAGCTAACTCAATACTTGGCTTGAGTATGGAACTACTTTAGTTGACCCAAACACAGCTATGAAGCTATTATTTGTGTGAGTCACAGGGAACTTGCCTGCCATTCATCAAAAGGATCAATATTTTTATAAAAAAAATATTATAATATGTGCATTTCAATAAAGTTGAAAATGAGGAGTAAAGATATACAGTTGCATGTGAGAGGTACACAGCAGCATGACAGGCTTATTATATTCTTTGTGGAAAACACCTGACAGCGGAAATCACAGAACGAAAATTTAGTGCTTTTATAAGATACGTTCAATTAATACTTTTACTTGGAGAGCATTTTTTTTAAAACACTGCTGTGCTTATTTTGTTCTCATACAGGGTTAATGTTATTTATATGTGAAGTAACTAGACAAGTATGTTAATGCACCTGATACGTCTCCACTGGCCTGTTCTCCATGTTGAGGTCCCAAAATTTGACGGAGAGGTAGTCACGTGTCATCATATAGCGTCCGCTGTGACTGAACTTCACGTCCGAGATGGAGGAGATGATCTCAGAGAAAAAGGATCGGCTGCTTGGATCCTCAGGCTCCTCAAAGACTTATAAATAAATAGAAAGATAATCATGATTCTTATTTTTAAAATCTCAGCACTGACATTGTTGGACTGCAATAACTACACCAAGAAATCTTTATTTTAGCAGTGACACTTTTTTAATAATTAGCAAATACTCTTTTTAAACGGTCAAATATTTAGTCTATCGCATGACAAAAACAAATAATTTACCAGATCCAAAAGTAATGACTTCAGATTTATTCTGTCTGACCAAAAGTCAAAATCCTAACTGTAATCAGTTTATAGTACCTAATACACAAATTGAGAAAAGCACTAAAACCAATCAGATAAACTGTTCAAAAAATATTAGTCTATCAAAAAACAAATCAATTATTATTCCTCAGACAGAATAATTGACTTGATATTACATACTAGAGTGCAGGGACTTACACTTTGAGTGCCTATCGCAGAGCGCCGCTGCTCGCATGTCACACAGGCGGATGGTGCCTTTGCTACTGCTGTACACAAATACATTGCATTGATGCGGATGGCACTCAGCAGCTGTGATTACTTCTGTCAGTTCCTCCATGTTGGCGGGCTTGATGTCTACAATATCTGAGAACACACCGTTAAAGAACCGTCTTATGTTTCATTATGATGCAGTGTAGAGATCTACAAGCCACATATCTAATATTTGCATTCTGATGAAGAAAAAGGATACTAAAACTTCTGTCTGTGATTTCCAAGTGCCATAGATTTATTCTTAGGTCATCTGCAGAGAGGTACGTTTCATGATCACTATTTACAGAAATGGAATTAATGTGATAGGTGTGTGCATTTGCAAAGATCCTCCGTGGGCTTGCTTCTACCATGAGATCCATTGGCATCAGTACTGGTACCTGAAATGTATAACATGCACCTTTTTAGATAGGATTTTACATTAACAAAAAAAGTCTTGTTAATAAAAAGAGACAGATCTGATATATGATTAAAAATACCCGTAAAGAGGTGATTCTAAAGGGATCTCTGAGTCGTCCATCTTCATCTTTCAGGTTGTAACCTTCTGCTCGTTTATCTCTTTCACTTATTTTCCACAATTTGATAGTTTTATCTGACAAAAGAAGTTTAGACTGGAGGATTTAGAGGGAGGATTATCTGATAGAGAACAAGTCCCACAGCTTTAAATACTAATAAGAAAACTCTTACCATTTGTCGAAAGTAGAAAGTGAGCAGCATTTTGTTGGGGTAGCCATCTTATTTTATTAATTTTTTCCTCGATTTCTAAACTTTTCAAATAGTCAAATTCTGGCTCGTGACTCTGAAAAGTGCTATAGACATTGTACTCCCCACGCAGGTGTGGACGATTCTTAGACTGAAGAAAAAAAAACATACATATATTGCAAACACAAGTTACAAGGTATATAGAGTATCAGCCAGCATTTGATTTTTGAAGGAAATACTGTTGATGTACTTGTCTGCCATTTAATTTGACTCTTACCTCTTGTTCATGTTGAAATATCACTACTCTGCCTCCTTTATCTCCAGTTGCAAGCAATTCTCCAGAATAGTTGAACTCAACTGTAGAGATTATGTCAGCTGAAAATGGACATTAATCAGATTGATTCAGACTTAATAGCTCATCTTTCACAATGATGGTTAGGATGTGATGACAGCTATGTTCATGCCCTTTGTGTAAATAACAATTTCCTTGAAGAGATTGCTCACTGGCAGCTAGACACGCACAACACACATCTATCAATGCATGTATGTAACTAAAGAATGAATGAATGAAAACAAGCATGATGTCACTCGACAATTTATGGACGCAGCACATTGACGTCATGGACACGGTCGCTCCCCTTTAATAGCCTAGCTTCTACCTAGCTCACAACCAGCTAGCGACACACATTTTTACAAAATTGGGCATTTGCGCAAGTTATTTACAGACAAGTACCTAGCACGACAGCTGTCTTATATGAAAAGCTCTGCTAACGTC